TAAACGATGTCCAATTTTGCTTTCCATAACCATCGAAGTGCCACAAACCGGTAGACTTAATTTCATTTTCATATTTTATGACATTCAAGAGTTTACTGCCTCATTTTCATTTTATTGTAGTAAAAGTTCTAGATCCGAACCGAATTATTGAGTTACGGCAATTTCGTTTAAATTGCAACGTTAATTCGGTTTTAGTATTTTAATGAGGATTCATATTTTAGTAACTAAAATTGAATCATGTGTGCTTTCCGAAAATTTAAGAGCTTTAGACTTAAAACAGTTTATTAGTTATATGAATAGCGTATTCAATCTATTTATATACCTAATTACTTTAACTGATGCATTAAGGAAAATATACAGCGTGTACCATAAAGCTAGATCCATATGGGATTTTCGTTTAATATTACGAGAGGAAAAAAACGTCGTAGGGCAGTCACCTCTGCCTATTTGAAAACTTAAAATAGGAAATAGTTTATATTTTTTTTCTACCTTATTAAGGAAAATTGTACCTATTGGTACGGTTGTTTCTGAAACATTACTAAAATTTTCGAAATTTTGTTTTTCTACAAAATAATAAACTATACTATTTAGAAAAAAATTTATTTCTCTTATAATTTTATAAAAAATAACAGGGGAATATTTACATTTCTTGATCTATTAAACAAAACGATAAATTATTTCGACGAATGACACCATATTGTAGTTTACACGTACATATACCTCTTAACACTTGTTTGCTTTATTAAAAAAGTGTGTTGTTGTGATTTACGTCGAAATAAGTCAAAAACAACTTGAAACCCCATATAAAATCAAAAAGGAGAAACGGAAAAAAAAACAAAAATAGCTATCTAATAATAAAAAAATAAAATTTGATTCTTGTGCAGCTTCATCTATATCATTAACTGTTTTTGGTTTTTTAATGGTTTTTCTTGGTGATGAAAATTCCGATATCTCACGGTTATCGATTCTTTTTTTCTCTCCAGAAATGCGGACGACAGTGTTTTTAGATACTCCTGTGGCTGCAGCAACACGATCATTTACATTTTTAAATGGTATTGAAGGTGAATTAAAGTTTCCTTCTCTTCTCATAAACTCTATAACATTGGCTATTATTTCGCGAGATTGACTGTTAATCACGCGGCCTCTTAATTTGCTATTAGGTTCTATTAAACTGTAATGAGCAAAAAACACAAACGAAAATAAAAGAAATGTTTTAGCGAAATTTACATCTGACATTTACGTCTGAATGAAATAGTGAAATACTTGATGCGCAGAGTGTACTTTCATTGCGTAAATCCGTCGGGATGCCTGTCAGTAGTGCTTTCTCTGTCTAGCCGTCGAAAGCCTCTAGAAATTTGATGAACTGTAAGTATGTTTTAATAACTGTTGACAGCAATGTCTACAAGCAGGGACGTATTTTCGGCGCCGTCGTGCGAACTAATGATAGGCGCCTTTAACCTAAATTATTATAATATTGAGCTAAAATTACCACCCTTCTCTCGTAGTTGATTTTTGAAGAAAAGTATACATTTTAGTACTAATGTCTATATTTATTTGTGACAAATAGAAAGTACACAAAAAATAATAGAATACAAAACAAAAACAGTTTCAAAGTTACAAAACATTAATTCAAAATATAAAAAAAATAAAGAAATAAAATAGCGATTGTTTTGAAACAGATAATACATGATCATGATACATGGTGGTGAGGTTTTACAAAAATTGGACTTTTCTAGCTTTACTTTTTGCAAATATATTAACAAGATTTTCCATTTCAAGTTGCTTTAAAAAGGCAGCCTCTATAGAAATGGTAGCAATATTTTCTAATTGCTCTTGGCCCATTCTAGATAGTAAATAATTTTTAATCAACTTTAATTTAGAAAATGACCTCTCGGCAGGCCCGTAGCGAGGGGGGCGCCAAGGGGGCAGAGCCCCCCCTAAAAAATTGCCCTAAACGGCCTTTATTAATGAAAAATGCAAACAATTTACAATGAGTCACGTTCCAGTATTCTGGATTTAACAACAACAATTACTTTATTGAAGCTATTATGTCGGGAGAAAAATTAGATATTAAAAAATGTCAACCACTGGCCGAACTGAACTTTCAATTGCCAAGTACCACGGAAATGGAAGTCGCCAAGAAATATATAGATCGACAGACAATCGAGAATGCTGCAGAAAATCCTAATATTTTCCAATCTATTTTTAAGCAAAAAACTGCATTTAAACACGAGTATGAATTTCTAGCGAATTGCCGTACTTTCTCTTGTAATACGGCGCTGTATGAGTCTAATTTTTCTGTCCTCGCTAGAATTGATAGACCTTAGCGCAGGTCAATGTTACATCCAAGACTGGCAAACCTTACCTATTTAGCATTTATGATAAAAGTTCATAAAAAGATATATTTTATTATTTTTTGGTAGTTTATTATTTAGATTAATTGAAATGCTTTCTTGAATAAATATCCATTTTGCAATTGCTTGTTTTTTTTTAAATACTTTCCTCGGAAGAAGGAAGACAAAACAAAACTTCTCATACTTTTTTGGTATTTCTATCTTTAATAAAGAAAAAAATTGGGCTCCCCCCAAGATTTTGTTTAGCCCCCCTGAAACATGGTGCCTGGCTACGGCCCTGCCTCTCGGCTGTAGCTACAGAAACTGGAATGGTTAAGAATATGCGCAATGCAATCGTAATATTTGGAAATGAGTAAGTTAGGTTATTTATTGCAATGTAATTAAGTGTTTTTACTACAGACATCGCGTTTTTGTCTCCATTTTGCAGGAATTGTAATTCGTGTAAAAGTTCTGTTCAGTCTATATCTTTCTCGTTTCAATCTTTGTCAGCCAATGTTTCTTCCAGTTTTTTACAAAAATTAAATTAATCTTGGTTAGAATATTTGCCGAAATCCTTAACATTCCAGAAAAAATTAAAAACAGAATGACACGATAATAATTTAAATCTTTCATGTACGGATGAAAGAGTAATGTCTAGCATTCCGAAAAAGCAATTTCCTTTAACTTTCATTTCCTGATTTTCAATCGGCTGGTTGTGACCTTCGTAAGAAAATTGTTTTTTCTAAGCAATCTACTAATATAATAATAAGTCACTGAAGCCTTTGTCAGATTGTTATTGTTTTGAAAATGCATTGAGGTTATTTAAACTTTCGCAAGCCTGAGAAATACTAAATGTTTTTGATTGCAGAATATTAGTAACAACATCCACTTTACTTAGAATTTTGTACCACAAGACTACCATACACACAAACTTATATTTTTTTATTTTTTTACCTAGGGAGGTAGCTAGATATTTTGTAGTATTGTCAAAATTATTTCCGGATAATATTTCATAAAGAGCATTACAAATTTCGCCCAACTGAAATCTTAGAGGGGCTATTGCTTCAATTCTGTTAGACCATCTAGTATTTAACAAAAGCTTTAATGTCAGACTTGAAATGTTACTTTTCAAAATCGACCACCGATTGGTTGAGGCAGAAAAAATACTATATTATTTTTGAACAGTTAAAAAAATATATACTAGAAATATTGGATTTCACAGCATCGTTTATGACTGTGGTTAGAACAAGGTACAAACATTGCTCGTGGATTAATGTCTAAAAATTTTTTTGTACATCTTGATACACTTTTCATATTTGAACCACTATCATAACCTTGGCCGCGCATATTATAAAAGTCTAAACTATAATTTTCCAAAGTTTTTAGTAAAAAGTTCGTTAAACCTTCACATGTTATATCACTTACAGGACAAAATGTTAAAAAAACGTTCTTCGACACTAAATTTATTGTGTTTTAAATGAACGTATCTTAAGCAAATAGAAATCTGCTTCTGGTAGCTCACATCAGGAGTACAATTAGGTAATAAAGAAAAATACTTTGTTTCTTTAAATTAGTTTAAAATATTATTTCTTATATTGTCACATATTAATTTAATGGTTTCGTTTCCAAAAAAGTTAGTAATTGCTTTTACAATTTTCTTTACTATTTTTTTGCTATTTTGGCATTCTTATTTCATAGTGTTATATTATTGTTTGTCTATTCTCACCCAATAATAAAAATAATAAAAATAAACAAGACCATAACAATAGTAGTTTATGCAACAAGAGTGGAGATGGCTATATCGCACGAAGACGAAATTTGAGCACAACGCCGTAGGCGGAGTGCTCAATCCTCTAAGTGCGATGTAGACAATTCACTCGAGTTGTACAGTATATTTTTTATATGACCCACTAACGAAAATTTACGAATAAAAAATATTTTAGGTTATTAAGACAAAATAATTAATTTTAGAATAATTTGACTTTTAATAATTTTTAAAATAAAATAAACGAAAAAAAAAAAAAAGAAAAAAGTTCATTTCATTTTTCCCTATCCGAGAATCGAACTCGAGTCTTCCGTGTGGAAGGCAAGAACGCTGATCTCAGGATCACCTATTTTTTATTTTTGTTGCTTTAATACTCGTAATTAAATTGACTTCATATAGTTTTATTTAATATTACCAAATTATTTATAATTATAGACGAAATAAAAACAAAAATGCTATTATTTATCGATTCTACACAAGAATAACCCATTTCAATGTGTGTTTAATCTCAATAACTAAAAAATATACTGACAATTAATGTGACAGAACTGTCACTTATTTAAAATTTTAAAAATAATAGCAGTCGGTTGATCAAAATATGAACGGTGATTGGTAGATTTCATTTTTTTGCAGTGTTCTCACTACCTAGAATGGATATGAAATATATTCGTTCAGTTGAAGGCAGTAGCATAATTTTTCGTTTTGTAATCTGTGCGTAGATAAGGTAATATCCATGTGGGTGTAGAAAAAAATTTTTTCTAACCTGTTATAAGACTCATATACATATTTTACAATATTTTTACAGTAACTGGGCCTTTTACGTTATACATCTGTCATATAAATTAGAAAATTGATTCTTGTAAAATATATTTTATAGATATTATAACAATTATAGTTAGGTAGTTCTATCTACAGTAACGAAATTAGTATAAATGCGTCACATTCCACCTCGTTTACTAACAAACTTCTCCATTTTATTAATAAAAAGAAGTCCAGTACTAATCAAAATTAAATTGAGTAATCATAAATCACAATTACAAAATACTACAATTACTAAATATACAGCAGGCACGCATGGTTGATGTATAGTGGTATATCTCTTAGATTTATTCTCTCGCTCTGACTATCCTCCCTTGTTATTCTGACTTACTGGTTTTTATAATTGTACTCCTTTTCATTTTCAACTATGGTTTGCCAAAATTTTTCTACTGGACTCACTGCGATTCCGACCTGGTGACACAGAGACTACTTATTTCAATATCGTAAATTATATAAAAAGTAAAAAAAATAGAGCAAACATTAAAAAATGTAAACTTATCCGTATTGCATTATTTTCCATAGTGTAATTAATAAAATCTAAGTAATGGTCTACTCTGGTATAAAATGCCGGCTTTCCCATTGCACACTCCCAGCCCCAAGATGTTATGCCATACTGAACGTCGTTGCACATCATAGGACCTCCAGAATCTCCATAACAAGTGTCTTTAACCATGCTCGGTTCAGTACATAACATGCTCATTTTCATTAGTCTAAACTTTATGCGACAGTCCTCATATGACATGATTCTTATATCTACACACAATAAATTCATGGAAGGAAGCCTTTTATTATTTCGATCTGTTACTCCCCATCCCATAAGTGTGCTAATATCACATATATCTGATACATCTCCAACTATAAATGCATGGGGAAGTTGCACATACCGAAGATTTATTTTGAGATGCATGGGTGTATTTAAACGTAGCAATGCTATATCATTGAATAGAATATCTTTGTTGTGTACATATTTTGGATGCACATATACGTGTCGAATATCATGAACTGGACATTCTTCTCTCAATATTCCATCAGGCTTAATACATTTTTGTCTTGTAAACGAATCACAAATATGATATGAATAGTGCGTAGCGTCAAAACAATGGGCCGCAGACAAAACCCACTTTGAATTCAGTAAACTACCTCCGCATATATGCTTTCCCCAATAGTCGGTTAGAACTACCATAAATTCGTAATTTACTTTGGGACTATGACGACTGCATTCGTATCCTCCTATAATTCGATTTTCAGCAAATTTACTAAGTGATCCATAAATATGTATATAAACAGTTAGGAAAATATAAATAATCTCACTCATATAATTCATTAATATTTTTTACTTTTTATACTGATGACGTAAGTATGACAATTTAGGGTTATAAAACATGTCTTCTTTTTTTTAATTTTTGAGGCTACCAATTAAGGAGTCTACCAATTAATCTTCTTCTTCTTCATTATTTTATTGGGCTATGTTCTGAAGAACAATTTACCTAACCTACCAATTAAGCATTCCAAACAAAATAACTGTCAGTGGGAAGGGTTGGTATATCTAAGGGGTTGCGCCATACGATGTATCCTGTTTAAAATACGTGAAATCATAAATGAAATAAATTTAAATATTTTATGTCGAACACAAAGAAAATAGTATTTAATAAAAAACTACTTATATATTTTTCATAAATTGGCAGGCTTGGCGATTACTATTTCAAATAAAAACAGCGTCCAAGATGGAAGAGTATTATAGATATACCAGCCCTTCCCAATGGCAAATACTGTTTGACAAGTCCTTGGAAAGCCAAATACTGACAATCTCTTGTTCTATCCTTAGACTAGATAATACCTAGTCTAAGGTTCTATCCTATTCCGACAGAACCGCGTTAATGGGCTTTTAGTCCTTGCCTCGCGATCAGTCGCGCGCGACGTATCGCATGAGTGGTTTTTCCCTCTTACATAGATCAAGATAGAAATGATGCGTTTGACATTTTGTGACAGCTGATGCGGAAAGTAGCATATTCGCACATGGGTGGAAAGTAAATTCTTATTCATACTCGTGTGACATAGGGCACTTTCCATAGGACTATATAGGCTGAGTTCGGTTTGGCGTTCGCTGTACTCAGAGTGCACTCTGTATGCCTCGATTGTGGTCGCCTTGGCACTCAGAGCGTACTCTTTTGTGTTCGGCTTGCCACAGATCACGTACTCAGAGCGCGCTCACTCTTCCCCGAGTTGGCCGATGGAGATCAGCGGGTATCTGTAGGAATGTGTCAAAAATGTCAAATGTTAATTTTCTGATTGGTGATTAATCAGTTTTACACGTAATATTTCTTGTTTGTTTCTGTTATAACTATTTTCTATTTGAATAAAATTATTTTTTTACAGTCCATAGACACACACAAAAGTGTATTCAAATGCAAACTATCACTAGTGTCATATGTCATTCCCCTTGTGTTCGTCTTGAGATTCTAAAAAGAGTCAACTCTGTCTATGACATACATCTAGATGTATTTATGAAAGTGAAGAAGTTTTAAATGCTGGACATTTAATTATGTGATGTAAATTAGACTCTACGGGCCAAGAAAAGAATATAGTTGTATGTGGTTTATGTTTACAAATTAGTGACTTGAAATCTCATCTTCACGAAATAAAAGGCCAGCTGGAAATTATAAATAAAAAATTAAAAGTGAAAAGACACATATGGTACATTTTTGCAGATTACGAACAGCACACCCCACCCCGACCCTATAATGTATCTAGGAGGTAATCGAATTAAATGTCAAGAGCAGACAAAATTACTAGGTATTCATTTTGATAATAAACTAAATTGGGAGGCACATATATATTACTTAGAGACAAAATGCCACAAAGTCATTAATATTTTAAAATGTATATCCAGTAAATACTCTTTGATTCTTGAAAATAATATATTCAAAAAACACTGCGACCAAAGCATTGCACCCTGGTTGAGAAAGGTTCCAAATATCAACCTATCTCTAAGTAAGCGGAAGAAAGAAGATACATCACCGCTAACCTATCGTTGTCTTGTCTTTTTTCTGAACAAATCCAAAGGTACACTGGATACCTGAATATTTACACAGACGGATCTCTTTCAGAAAACGGAATTGGTTCCGCCTTAGTAGTAAACAATGAACCTCACCATTGGACGCTTAATCCGATGTGCAGCATTTTTACAGCTGAATTATATGCAATATGGCAAGCTATGCTATATTTTTCTTTCCAAGAGAACACACAATGCCTTATTTGTACTGACTCTTTAAGTGCTATCAAAGCCTTGGAACACCGTTTCACATTAAATGATTGGGCTGTTGAAATTTTAGAGAACTAAAGTAGTTACCATTATGTGGGTTTCAAGTCACGTGAATATAACCGGAAATGAAATAGCAGATTATGCAGCCAAAGATGCTACCATCGCCAGAGTGGACGAAGGTATTCTAGTTCCCATGGAGGATGTCAAAAAATTTATAAAACGAAAACTAACGAATGTCTGGCAGCACGAGTGGGATAGATATGATGGACAACTTAAAAGAATTAAGCCCTCCACCAAAAAATGGTTCTACCCAAAAGAATTATCTCGGCGAGAGCAAGTAGCACTTTGTAGAATGCGAATAGGACATACAAATCTTACACACCTATATCTTTTAGTGGGTTCGGCAAGACCAAGATGTGAAATATGTAGAGAGTTCGATTAACAGTGCAACACCTATTCACATGTCCAAGTTATGAACCTTATAGACGTCAAAGTGGAATCATATCCCCTGAAATAGAAATCATTTTAAAAACTAAAAAAGACTCAACACAAAAATTACTTACCTTTTTAAAATTGAGTGGTATTTCCAAGAAAATATAATATTTACGACCATATAATAGTTAAAGAGCTAATGACCCTGGCATACGAAGCTCTCAACAAAAAAAAAACGAACTGTTCTTGCAAGGTTTGAAATAGAAGTGCAAGCATATTTCTGCTCTTCTAATTAAGTGTACAAGTTGAATGATATTGCTAATTTAAAAAATACGTTATACTCGTAGTGCCAAAGCAATTCCTAATAAGACTGGAGTTAGTGCTTATGTTTTCTGTGCATTTTCTGCTAGTGTTTTTTTGTTTTAGGGTTGATTTGGAAATATTAAAGATCATTTCACAAATTCAAATAAAATGTACATGGTCAAAACAAAAAAGTTTGACAGAAGAAAAGTGCCATGCTCTGTCGATAAATCAGATGTCTTGTATCAAAAATATGGATGACAAGGAATTGAAACTAGTGGTTGATGCTGAGAAAATATACAATTTTTTTTATTTAAAAACTACCATCCTCCGCACTTGCAAAGCATAGGTAGGTTTTGTAAATTGAAGAAACATGTTTCTTTTTTGATGTGTGTATTGTACTGGCTCTTTAATAAATAATAAAAAGCAGCTGAAACTAATAATTTATAACAATAATATTCCTTTATTTTACATTAAAAAATATTCATAAAACTAACTAATTCGCAAATTCATTTTTAGGTTTGGACGAAGACATTTTAAATAATGCTGTTCAGTCACCACTAATATAATTTGTTTCTTCATTTGCCAAAAATCTATTTTCTTTCCAAATCGACAGGACTACAATGCTTTAATTCTGCACACGTTTTATCTGCAGCTGTAAACAAAGGACAGCTAGTAGAAATGCGTTTAAATAAATTGGACTTAACTAGTTTTAATTTATATTTCAACTGAGTCGTTACTGAAATTTCAGACATCTAAATTCCTTTTTTTTTTCTTTAAACTTCAATTCAGCGGACGTCGACAGACAATTCAATTTCACAAATCGAGTCCCAGCTTCATTTTGTATTTGATGTGATGTTTTTTTATAACAAACAAACGAACAAACAAGCCATGTTTAGTGTGAAAATGGAGACAGATAAATGCATTTTTTATAGTTGTATGAACAACATGTGAAAATATTATTTCTATAGTTTTGATGCAAATCTGTATTCGCTCCGTGCGAAGTCATGGAAAGGGAAGCAAAAGCGATACTAGCGCTAGCTGCGGATAATTCGTGCATTTTAGGGGGATATTTTGTAATTTTGGCATATCAAATACACGTATACATTTTACTTTTTTTCAAAAAAGTAGGTAAAAACAACACAATAAGCAACCGGAGTTGCTGTGTTGAAAATTGTACAAATACTAGCAAAAAAAAAACAGTGAAACTTATATAACAAATTTCACTAACAAAGTGGAAATGGGCCATGTTCACATGTGAGATATGCTGTTTTATAAACTATATTGTAATAGTTAGTCGCTATACAAGTTATTCTAAATAATCAGTTCGTTAAAAAAGCTAAAAGTTTTTAAATTAAGCCCAATTGAAATTTAAAATTTGAAATTATACGTCATCGGGAATAGACCAATCAGCTTGTGTCGAAGTTTTTTTTGTTTTACAAAACCAAGCCAACGAACAAACCTACATACAGAATGTCGAAGTGAACGCACATCTAAGTGACATTTAAAAATTGACAGCACCTAACAACTAACCTTAGTTTTTTGTTTTGGTTTAATTTTATTATTAATCTGCATTTATCTGGGTAAATTATCCTGTGGGATATAGGATATATAAAGGAAGAAGAATATGAATTTATCAGCTGTATTTATAAAAGTTGAATCAAGTATTTTTCCCATTGTAAACGAAAATATGATTACCGAGATGATTACTGCATTTTTTAACAATACTCAGTTTCCAAAAGATTGAAAGGTAAAACTTTATTTATAAATTGTTTTAATGGTAGGTAGTTACAGTTTATATGAAGCAGTACACTTTATAGTAAAACATATTTATCTCAGGTTTTATTTTTAGATCTGCCAAGCAAGAATATGGAGATATTTACTTTTTCCATAAGAGAGAAGGAGACAAATTACACCTAAACATAAAGTACAGCAAAAACCTTATGATGTGGCTGTTTTTTAGTGCTTAGGATATGTTGAATCTCAAGGTTTGTAATATTTATTATGCTTTTTTGTTTTTATATCACATATAATAAACAGTGTATAAGGCCCTTTATTCTTATAAATATTTTTTTTCTAATTTTGACATAAAGAGACATTTTTTGTAATCGCAGCAAGTGTTAAAATAATCTAGAAATAGATTTTGTTAGTGAACCTAGTAATAATTATGATACCAAAGAATGCTGCAGAGCACCTATGAAATTTTGAGTTAAAACATGCCATATTTTTAGGCTATTTTTATACCCTTTTCAAAAATTTTATGCTCCTCGTTTTATGCAAAACTTAAAATGCTCTGATAGCTTCGAACGAAGTCAGCAAAGCACCTCTGTTTTATAAAGTTTTTCTGTAAAAACAGCAACACCATATATTTATGCACTTGAAATATTA